CTCTATTTTCACCCCTCACTCTCAGAATCGACCTAACTTTTGCTAACCTGAATTTGTTCCACAGTGTAATTTTAGTATCCCAAAAAAACATATTTTAATGAGTCCGATACTGAATTGTATCGATACTTTTTCCCTGATACTTTTAGAGTATCGATACCATGAAAACCGAAAACTGCAATTGGCCAAATAATTAATTTAATTTATTTATTTTTTTTACTTAAACCTTTTCATAACTAACATTTCAAAATTATATTTTTTTCCATATTTTTATAATTTTTTTTTCAATGTTTCTTCAAAACCAACACTGAAAAAATTGGTGCATAAGAAATGAGAAGTAAATTAATATTAAGTTGGAAAACGCAAGTTTTGTATTATGATTGTTTTCTTTTCTAAAGAAAATTTATTGAAGAAACTGAGAAGCATATTATAGATCAAACAGAAAGCAAAAAAGGCTTAGTTTTGTGGAAAATATGTTCAAAAAGCATGAAAAAAAATTTCCAACATTTTGCTTCATAAGCACTACAAAAATTTTCTAAATAAATTTTTTTTTAATTTTAATTGTTGCACAGGTCTCTAGCAGTAATTTGGCTTTAACAGATTGAAAAAATATCAATTAGTCGACGAGTTATAGCCAAAAAACCATATAAACAATATGCTGGAAATCGGCATTTGACTGCAAAGTTCGAAGGTCGATTAAAAAAAAATTCGAACTAACATAAACAAACGCCGCGATAAGGGTCTTCTAATTTAGCCTCTATTTTCACCCCTCACTCTCAGAATCGACCTAACTTTTGCTAACCTGAATTTGTTCCACAGTGTAATTTTGGTATCCCAAAAAAACATATTTTAATGAGTCCGATACTGAATAGTATCGATACTTTTTCCCTAATACTTTTAGAGTATCGATACCATGAGCTCGATGCCAGAATGAGTACTCAGTAGACAGGTGGCAACCCTGTTAAAATTCTAAGTAAAAAAGGATCCCTCTCCTGTCGATACAGAGTTTGTTAGAGAAAATCTCGTCAAAATCCGTTCAGCAGTTTTCGAGACTACCGCGTTCAAAAAATCTCGACTTTCCTTTATACTATGTATGGATTAATTGTTATTTTTAATTGTTTCATAAAACAATTAAAAAAAAAGAATTGCAATTAAATCAATTGCAGTGTGCAAATACAAATTTAATTGCAATTAAAATTTTAGTTGCAAATAATTTAATTGCAATTAAATTAATTGCAATGCACAATTAAAAGTTTAATTGCAATTAATTTAATTGTAATGTGCAATTAAAACTTTAATTGCAATTACTTTTCAATCAATTAACGACATGATTAAAAAATTAATTGAATTATGCCCCACACTGACATGTACTATGTATGTATGTGTGTATGTGTTGCCGCCGCTGAGCGTGCGTGGTATGCATAAGAATAAATATAACTATAGTTTAAAAAACTAAAAACTCGCTTTTATTAAAATGTAAACTAAAAAGTAGAATATAATTAATAGGAATAAAGAGGAATAGGAAGTTCCTAACTTTATTTAATTAAACTTTTAAAACCAACCTAAAATAGTATTAAAGTAATTGACAATAAAATTAATTTTGCCGTAAAACAAAACGTGGCTACTTGATATTAATTGTTTTGAACTTTTCATTTTCAGTTTAGTAATATTGAGTATTCTCAATAGCAGGACTATGCAATCTAAGAAGCACCCCCGATTTGTTTTCCGGCAAAATTAATTTTATTGTCAATTACTTTAATACTTCTTTAGGTTAGTTTTAAAAGTTTAATTAAATCAATTTGGGAACTTCCTATTCCTCTTAAACGAAATCTGTATTTCTATAAATTATATTCTACTTTTAAGTTTTAATAAAAGCAACTTTTTAGTTTTTTAAACTATAATTTAATTTTCATCTTTTTAGTCTTAAATTCAATTGATTTTACAACTGTTATGTAAATATACGCTGACCATCCCTATTTTGGCGAGACAATACCGATTTTAAGAAAATTTTCCCGCTGTATATTTTTAAGAAAACGGGACGTATAAGTGTCCCGATTTTTCATATTTGTATCGATTAAGTCCCGATTTTCAGTGTTTTCTTGTTTGTTTTAATCTGGCCCAAAAATAATTTTTCATACAAACATGGCAGCACTGTCGTTATCACAAAGAACATAGAATATACGGGAACCATAAACATAGCCGGCATCCTTATTTTCTATTATCTTTGGTTATGTTTTATTCTGTCAAACCGGTACTCTCGCTATATTGAAGTCTATCATTCTTCTCCCAATTTTATACCCGAGCGCACTTGTGCACAAGGGTATTATAACTTTGTTCACATAACGGTTGTTTGTAACAGGCAAAACAAATCGAGATAGATATAAACAAATGTATACATAAATGATCAGAATGAAAAGATAAATCGATTAAGCGGTGACTGTCTGTCCGTCCGTCCGCCTGTGCACAAGATAACTCGAGTAAAAATTGAGATATCTTAACGAAACTTTGTACGTGCACTTCTTTCGGGCATAGGACGGATGGTATTGAAAATGGGCAAAACCGGACAATAACCACGCCTACCTCCATATAACGGTAATTTTCAGATATACGAAAACTGCGATATTTTAGTAACTACTGAAGATTATACACTCAAAATTGAGATTTACATCTTTTGCAGCTACTCCCGAAACATACATATAGATATACAAGCAGTTATAATATGTAAAACCAATGCTGCCTACTCAAATAATATTTATTCCCCTTAGCTCTATTTAGTGTTACCAACATTACACTCCCGTACTAATTTATTTACATATTCATATTAAACAAATTCAGATACTCTACATTAATTCAGATTCGCAAATATTATTTATCCTAGCTTACATACGTTAGCTACATTTAAATTCTATTTAAAAGAATAAAAAATAATAATAAAAGAAAAATAAAGGGAATTGAAGAATAATAACATTTTTCAAACAACATAATTTAATCGTAAACCTCGCCGATACCTAAACGTCTTGGCTTAGAAATTGTTCATTTCGGACGGACGTTATCGGCCGACGGGGGATTTTCTAGCGTGCTATTTTCAGCTTCGTAGGCACCAGTGCTATTTGGTGAACCAGCATTGGGATCAGATTTTAGTGACGAATTTAGGGTCAGTGGCGGTGGTATTGGTGGTGGTTCTCTATTTCTCATTGTCGATTTTATGCTCTACTTCCTCCTTCTCGCTCTTTGTTGTGACGGGTTGGATTGGTTTAATTTGATTAATATGTCTTTTAATCAGTCTGTAATTTTTTTTCCATACNTTGACGCCTTTAGACTATTTTTTGTGGGGCTACGTCAAGTCTAAAGTCTACAGAAATAAGCCAGCAACTATTCCAGCTTTGGAAGACAACATTTCCGAAGAAATTCGGGCTATTCCGGCCGAAATGCTCGAAAAAGTTGCCCAAAATTGGACTTTCCGAATGGACCACCTAAGACGCAGCCGCGGTCAACATTTAAATGAAATTATCTTCAAAAAGTAAATGTCATGGACCAATCTAACGTTTCAAATAAAGAACCGATGAGATTTTGCAAATTTTATGCGTTTTTTTTAAAAAAAAAGTTATCAAGCTCTTAAAAAATCACCCGTTACATACGTGGGTCCAAAACTTTCTCAATACGAGCATTACACCACTGCACATGATTAGGATCGCAACGATCTTCGATCATTACCCCAACCCCCACCCGAAACCTTGTTTTCCTTCTTCCGCGATACTGTGCCACGGCCGAATCGTTAAGCGTGTCCTTACCGGAAATTTTAACTGCCTTGAAAGGTTTTGCCAGTTCGAATGTAGTATTTAGCTCGCGATTCAGAAACAACCTAGCTGTTTCTTTGTAAAAACAATTTAAATTCTTTAGAGCAAAACTGACTACCGTTGTCACTGACATTTTTTTGCGGAATACCGTATCTACAGAATAAATTACGTAATCTATCGATAGTAAACCTGGTAGACATGATTTCGGTTTTAAAAATTTCCAACCATTTAGAAAAAGCATCAATTACACTGTGAGACAAATGGTAGGGGTCAGTGATCGGGAAGGGTTCAAACTACCGGGGAAAGTTATATCGGTAAAAAAGAAGTTATACGTGTCCCGGCGTTTCGCTGGGTCACGTCTAGGAATCGAGATATATATATAAATATCATATAGGGGAAATTGTCACCTTTGGTGTTTTTTTTTGACATAACTCGAGAACCACTAGTCCGATTTTACTCAAACTAATTAAAAAAAAATTAAAAATTACAATTCCTTTAATCTCTTCATATAACGTTTTTCTATATAATCAACAGTTTTAAAAAAATTTAATATTTTAGGCAAGAAATATTTTTTTTCTTCATACATTTATTTTTACCGACAAAACTGTTGATTATATAGAAAAACGTATATGAACAGATTAAAGGAATTATAATTTTTAATTTTTTTAAATTTGCTTGAGCAAAATCGGACTAGTGGTTCTCGAGTTATGTCAAAAAAAGTTATATATATATCTCGATTCCTAGACGTGACCCAGCGAAACGCCGGGACACATATAACTTGTTTTTGACCGATATAACATTTCCCGTTGGTTTCATCCCATCCCGATTTTGACTGTCGCATAGTGTTATGATTAAAAAATAGAAACCGTGTATTGGTCCCGCAAAATCAACATGAATACGCAGCCATCGGGCCCTTTCGACCTGCCATGGTATTAGCGGGGCCTTGTCTGGTGCCGACTTAACCATCGCACATGACGTACATGCCCTGACTATCCGTTCGATGTCGCCATCTATACCTGGCCACCAAAAATGGGCCCTTGCCAAGCTTTTCGTTTTTACTATTCCTTGATGTACCGAATGAAGTAGTGACAGAATGGAACTACGTAAAGATTTGGGAATGACTACTCGGTTACCCCAGAGCAATACCCCTTTCTCCACCGTGAGCTCCCTAGAGCGAATTAAAAATCCTCTGTAGGCATTCTGGTCCATTCCTTTGAACTTCTCAAACGGTCCTTCCCTTAGAGCTTCAACTACCACGGCTAAGGTACTCTCTTTTCCCGTTTCAGCCTTAATTGCAAAAAAATCTACTGGAAAGGTGTCGTAGCCAATGAAATTTAGATATCCTACTTCATCATATCTGTCGTCGACTACCCCTTCTCTGGGTAACCGTGATACAATATCCGCGTTGCCGTTTTCATTACCCTTCCTATATTGAATAGTATAATCGAAACCGGATAAGAAATAAGCCCATCTTTGCATACGATTTGCTGCCATCAGTGGTATACAAGACCGTTCATTTAATAACGAAAATAGAGGCTTATGATCGGTCACAATCTTGAACTTGATCCCCCTTAAGTACTGATAAAGTCTTTTTACTTCTTTATCTAACATACTGTAGTTTTTCTCGGTATTAGTTAAAGGGCGGGATATGAAAATCACAGGCCTTTCTTCTCCATCCTCTATTTGGGATAAAACTGCCCCGATACCGCAACTACTGGCATTGCATGCCAAAATCGTAGGTAGCCTCGCGTCGAAATGGGCCAGGTTCACATCCTTCACTATGTCGGCCTTTATTACACGAAGAGCTTTGTCACATTTTTTGTTCCATTTGAACGCGACTCCTTTCTTTAATAAGTGGTAAATGGGTTCTAATTTATTTGAAAAATCTCTTATAAACCGTGCATAGTAATTTACCATGCCGAGAAACGACCTCACCTCGAACAAATCTTTAGGTATGGGGGCTAACGATATAGCTTCCACCCGTTCGCCAGTTTTCCTTACCCGTGTTTATTGACCACGTGGCCCAAAAAGCGAACTTCGTCTTGCATGAATTTACATTTATTGTAGTTCAACTTGAACCCGGCAATTTCGAAACGCTCCAAGACCAAATCGAGTGTTCTTAAATGCTCTTGAACATTTCTACCCGTAACCACGTAATCGCCTGGAAAATTTTTCACGCCACTGATGCCCTGCATAACTCTCTCCGCCCTATTTTGGAAAATTCTAGTCGCTACCTTTATCCCGAACGGAAGTCGGTTTACTCGGAAAATTCCCTTGTGGATAGACCATGCTGCCAGCATTTGCGATTCCTTTTCTAATTCGAGTTGGTTGTACGCGTTTGAAAAATCTAACTTTGTGAACTTTACTCCGCCCTGTAAGGATTCATAAACTTCATCTACGGTTGGAATAGGATGATTTACGTCTTTTAGAAATCGATTTAACGTGACTTTATAGTCCGCACATATTCTTACAGAGCCGTCTGGTTTAAGGACTGCAACTAGTGGCGTGCCCCATTCGCTGGTTTCTGCCTGAGTTAAAATGTCCATCTTTACCAATTCGTCCAATTACTTCTCAACCTCGGTTCTCGGTCTTGGCCTACAAAAAATTGGGTTTGCACCTTCGGACAATTCTAACTTCACTTTACCATGCTTGAATTTACCTAACGTGCCATCAAATAGCCCCTTATGTATTTTATGTAGTACGGATTCTAAACTCAAAATTTCTGGTTTTGCCCTTACTTCTTTTTCGGTTGCGTTACCACTTATGTCGTTTACGGTTTTGCGGACAGCTGAGCACCACGAAATCCACCAGCTTTTGCATACCGACATATTCGACCAATGGAGTGAACTCACCCAATACTTGTAGAAAACTACCATCATAGCACTGTAACCTAGCCCGGCTCTTAGTCGTTTTCTGGGAAAGCGCTTTTTGAAAATATGCACGGGCATCACGCTGATGCAAGCGCCGCAATCGATGTCGGCCGACAATGACTCGTTCCCCACATGTACATTTACTGTAAATGGATTAGTTACATTATTCATTATTATTTTCTTGAGCATCAGAATTTAAGCCAAATATTGAAAAATTATCCAACTTGGCTTCCTCCTGTTTGACCGAATTGATGGAATTGACAGCACTCCCAATGTAGTTGGCTCTTTTTGCGCGGCAGATTTTTGCGAGATGCCCCTTAGTTCCGCACTTATGGCACGTGTATTCCGCATATTTGCAGTCTTTCGATTGATGACTTTTCGCTCCGCAGTGGTGGCACTTATCTGCCTTTGCTTCTGTAGTACCCTGAACAGCTTTGCTAACCTTATTTTTGTACGTTTTCTTTTTCAAGAAATTAACCCCTTCTGCTTGTGCTCCTTCGTATTTTTGAGCTAAGTCCACCGCAGCATTCGGTGAAGCTAATTTTTCTCCCTCTTCGCATAGTCTGTCGAACACTTTACCTTCGCCAAACCCCGTAATGAATTTATTTAATACCAAGTTGTCCAGATTTGCGCCGAAAGAACACGTGGCTGCATAGGCTCTCAGGCGTCGTGCCATGCAACAGCAGATTCGTTGTCGCACCTTTTGGCATCGAAAAAACATTTTCTCTCGCGAAACGGTACCGTTTTAGGTAAGTATTGCTTTGACATTAACTCGCACAACTCATTATACGTTTTATTGCCGGGAGCAATTGGATGAACCAAATCTCTTATCAACTTGTAGGCCTCCACTCCGATTACATTTAATAACCTTGATACTTTGATTTTCTCATCGACGATTTCGTTAGATATAAAGAAGTGATCGAGCCGCTTTTTATAAATTATCCAGCTCTAGGATTCTATGAAATTCGACAAATTACCTAACCAAGACATTTTTTTGTTATGTCTTAGTTTCGCAGCAGTTCCCAGCAATTATAGAAGTGTCGACTTATTTTGGTTACGGTTGTGAAGGCTTCCAGATTTTTCTCGTCGCCAATGTGGTGTACTTAACAAGCGAGAGACGTCTTTCCTTATTGGGTGTCGGCAGCCAAAGAGGCATTTATTCTTTTTCATCTTTTGCAGCTACTCTCGAAACATACATATAGATATAGAAGCAGTTATAATATGTAAAAGCAAGGCTGCCTACTCAAATAATATTTGTTCCCCTTAGCTCTAGTGCTACCAACATTACATATATATATATCTCGGTAACCGTTTGTTCAGTGCAGCCGGCGTTATATACGAGCCTCTAAGAAATCGCCTCATGGGAGAAAAGGGAGCAAAATTACTTTTTTTGAAATATAATATGCCCCTTTTGAACTTTGACTACTAGATTAAAACACGGTATAGGTTAGGCACTCGTCTATTGTTCTCATAATTTACAAAATTTTTAAGTAATAAAAAACTATGTTATTCCTATCATTCGCATACGCCCATTCGCATTCGCGAATGTGAAAAATATGACATTCGAAACATCCCTAGTTACCACATAATTATGGACCACCTTAACCGATTTCTATTATTATTATTTTTTTAAGGAAAGGTGTTACCTCAGAGCTGGTCTCATACCAATTTGCCTATGTCCAACCATTAAGAAATTAACGGTTACCTTAAATTTGTATATTAGAATTGAGGTCGGTTTTATTTTTTGCTTAAAAATCACTTGTATAATTATTAGTTCAGTTTATTTATTTTTTTTTAATGAAACGATTCTAATATGGCTTTCCCACGGCACCGCAATTTCGTAGTTCGCTCTCTCATTCGCTCCAATTACCCTTCGAACTACGTACGCACTTGTTGGTAATTCAGATCTAATTACCATGCGAATTACGAACAAATCGCTGCCGTCTCTAATTTTTATCGGAAATTTATCGAAACCAGTTCACAAATCAAAGCTGGCACTTTTTCTGAGTACGAAAAGTAAAGTTTATACATTTGTACATCAACAATTGAATACGGAACTTTATAAATATTTAGCAATTACTAACCTTTTGCATCAATTTTGTAGCAAAGAGGAAAAGACAAAACACAGAGACAGAGAACTGACAAATCGAATTAGGAATGTGCCCGTGAGAATGGGGTAATTCGCGATCGTAATTGGGGAGCGAACAAAGTAATTCAGAATGCCGTGGGAAAGATGGTTTAACTTGATATATATACCCTGTAGTCAAATGAACCAGTTGTCAACTACTTTACAACTAGTATGACCCGCATGCCCAACTAGTCAGCCAACATTATGGATCGAAACCACTACTTTGGGAGCCAAAAAATAAAATGAGTTCATGAATATAGAATAAACAACGTTTGATTAACTACACTTTAATATAGTACACATTTTATTTTATTTTTTAGATTTGTCAATAATTAGTGTTAAATTTTTTTGAGTATTAGTTAAAAGAAAAAATAAATACATCAACATTTAAACAAATGAAAGTAGCCAAAACTTGCTAAAATGCCTTTTCGCTATTTACACTCTCGCCATCGTATATATTTATTGTGTGTATACATTTTTGCGATGATTTTTCAAGTTTATTCTCTTTGATTTGTTTTAAATAAAACTGTATTAAAAGATGTGATGTCTTTTTATTCTAAAAACAATATTGTATGTTCGGATTCGATGCTTTAGAAATGTCCCGACTTTTGGCCACAGCTTTGGAACCTTCACTAAATTTTATATCCCTAGAACAATAAGTGCAATTTAAGGCCTTTAATTTGAGTCAAGGTAGAAGACTCTAGGCCCTCTGAGAGCCAAGTTATAACAATTTTAAACCAAACTTCGAAACTGCTGTACTAGTTTTTACTCCGAAGTTAGGAAAAAAATTGCGTAAAATGTCGAATGAAATTTCGAAGTTTAACTTCAGAATAGTAATAATTTTGCTGTCCTAGCTAGAGACTTCTACCTTGGCTTAAATTAAAGGTCTTGAAGCAGTAAAACTGACTTGTTGTTCGAGGGATATACAATTTTGTAAAGGATGCACAGCTGCATGCAAATCATAAAAAATGCAATATATAACGCATTTTCCAAATTGAGGGGCTGAAATTTTGTTTCGTTTTTTTAACAATGGAATCGTGTTTCTCGTCTCAAAATTTATAATATGTATTAGTATAATAAAAAATACATAGAATTTTTTTTTTTAAATATATCCTTTGGATTTTGCTTTTTGTTTTTGAAGAGCACTATTTTTGACCAACTTTTTTAAGGTCAAGGAGTGATTGTGGTTCAATGGCAATATTTTTCCTTGAAAGGCAATTCCATTAGCTTTCAAAGCCATTTTGATTCATATCAAAATATTGCTTCTTGCGAAAGCGCTACGATGAATTGGCATGAAGTGTTAATAATAATAAAATTATTGTTTAAAAAACGAAAACCTCGCTATTAAAATTTCCATTCATACTGCCATCAGGTAACCTTAAAATGGAAGTTTAAAGTAATTCCCATTTGTACTGTCATTATATAGGTATCTAACTTGATAATGGAAATTGCTGCATTTTTAGGCGTAATTAATACATAGTTACATCCCAAGCTAATAAAAGCGAGGTAAAAAGCATCCCATACGTTCAAAACGCCATCCGTGAAGTGCAAAATGCTTCTTTTAATATGGGCGTATTTGAATTGAATATTTCCATTATACATAATATACTCTTGAACACTTTTCCCTTGATTTAAATACGTTATTATTTGATTCTACTATTTTTTCTAGATTTAAATAAGAACATTTTTAAACGGCAATAACGTTAAAAAAAATCAAGTTTCCCTAGACGTTTTTCCCCTCAAGTGTAACTTTTTTAACTTATTTAATAATTTGAACTTGGCGTTTTAAATAGGTGGCAACCCTCTTAAAAATATACCTTTTAAAATCCCTTTTGCCTGACACCCATATGTATTGTTATACATATTTCAGTTACCTAATTCCTTTAATTAACGTTGAATTTGATTTTTAAACAGGTGGTAGTCCTCCCACATGTTGTTGAGAAATAGTTGGATTTTTCGAAACCACTGTGCGTCGTTGACGATGCTTTTTTAGAGGAAGGGAGAAAGATCACTCTACGTTGAGCGCTCCCCACTCCGCAGTAAATAAGCCTAACTAAGCTGTTCTCGACTCCTAGCTTATCTAGGGATTTTACTATCGTCCCGGATACAACATTATTGATTGATTACTACAGTGTCCATTAAAACAAGAATCCGGCAAATATCGCAAATGAGTTGTGGATAGAGTACGGTGAAGGTCTGGTTCTAGACAACCTCATATAAATAATGCCTCCAAGTTATATAATCATCAATTTAAATTTTTTCTACGGTTAATCGAGATACGACTTTTTTATCCTGGTCTAATTTCCTTTTAAATTAATTCAACTTTTTTGGAACCGACTTTTTTGCAGCAGCATCAGAAAAAAATGTCCAAGATAACATCAAAGAAGCTAAATGCCGAAGGATCTAAATACCCTGCGCCAATATTCCTTCCAAGTACAACTAAAAACGATTGCACCTTAACAAACATGAATCTGCATCATTTAGGCGCGCTCGTATCGGCGGGATTCGAGGTGTCGGCCATAGTTGGTGAAAATATATTGAACACGAACAACAGCAAGAACGTTAGTGGGCGAATGAATGCGCGAGCGAGAGATAAGCAATACAGCTTGGACACATTTTCCCAGGGACTAGATACGTGCCGCGATTGCGGTGGCAGTGGCATTCCTGAAGCACAGTTACTCAGTGAACAGCATCAGCAAGAACAGCAGCAACAGACCACGCAAGCTAAACTAGTGAAGCAATTCGGGAATCGAGCCATTCCAGAACGTGCACATAGCGAGAGCAGTACAATGCCATACTCTGCTGGGGAAAATCTCAATTCAGCGGGACATAATGTGGTCTACGAATGTGGAAACGAGTAAGTTCATGCTGATCTTATTCTAATTAATATTATTTATTTTATCTGTACAACGCAAAATTTCTTCATCGACCCTTGTTATTTAATATCTAGTTACTAATTTTATTGGAGTTAGTGATTGGAGTGTACGAAATGTGAATACAAATTGTTGGATATCTTCGATACTAGAAAGGTAGCAGTGCAGGGGTGCCTGGGAATGGTAACAAAATCTCCCGAGCCTCAAATCGATTCCAACAAAGCAAAAATTCAAAGATAACACAGAGCCGGTTGTAGGTCGGGTCGAATACAACATAAAAATAGGTTTCTTGTTGTCCCTGAAGTCTCCCATTTTCCAGTTTAAAAATCTATATTTTCGTACTTGATGTACATACATATCGGCGCTGCACCAACAAAAACAGTTATGTGATTTTTATAAATTTTTTTTATTGCATATTTTATTAACACTATCTATTGCCAACATTTCTGCATTTGCCGTTTTCTTATATCCCTTTTGGTTTAGAACTGATCAAAAACAGCTACATATGTGCTCGCAGTACTAGAAATACTCTGAAAAAACGGGTATACGCTTACTTGCTTATAACTGTTTTTGATCGCAGATGAGTGTGCGTTGATTTCGATGTAAAAAATAATTATAAACCAACTAAATACATACATACATATGTATGCACATACGACTTACACTATATAGATTCTACATACTATTTAATTTGACCGCTTGCAATTGAAATTCAACAATTAACAAAGGTAAAAAGTATAGAGGTAGACAGCGTCCACTCTACATTAGAAAACGTATTCAATCCACCGATATATTCACCAATGGACTACATAAGTCGTATGCGACAGGCGAGGCTATCACATCCTTATATTGTTAATTATTTAGAGTATACATATTAAATGATTTCTTGTATTGGATATCACCCATCGAAACTTTGAAAAAGTGCATTATAATAATAATAATAATAATAATAGATTGGCGCTTACACATATGTTAGTGTTTGGCCGAGCTTCTCCTCCGATTTGTGGCGTGCGCCTTGATGTTGTCACACAAAGCGGAGGGACCTACAGTTTTACACCGACTCCGAACGGCGATTGTATTTTTATGAGAAGCTGTTTTTCATGGCAGAAATACACTCGAAGGTTTGCCATTGCCTGCCGAGAGACGACCGCTGTTAAGAAAAAACCTTTTTTCTATATTTTTTTGCGATGTTGCTTTGACCAGGGTTTGAAAAAAAAAAGTTTTCTTAGAGGTCGCGCTGGTCGGTTTTTTATAAAAACGCTGATATTCTGATTTTTTTTATTTTCTTGGCATGTTAAAATGCTGCTAAAAATTTGTTTTTTACATATAATTACTCTGGTATTATTGGGGAACATTCCCTTAATTATATACCTCTCTAGGGAAGTTAGAATGGGCCTAGTGCCCGAAAATATGCTCTCGAAAAGAGATTAGTAAAATTAAAACGTTCATACTGAACGATTTACGCATTGTCACGGGTGTTTCTGGGGTTGCCAATTAGGGATCTGAAGTCAGTGTTTCGAAATTCAAAATGGCGGATCCAAAATGGCGGTCCATTTTTTTTAATGATTGGATTTGTTCGAAGCCCGGCACTCGAGAGTTTTTGTGGTCGTCGACTACGAATCTGAAGTCAATTTTTTTTAATTCAAAATGGCGGATCCAATATGGCGATCAAATTAAAAAAAGTACTAAAATTAAAACGTTGATACTGAACGTTTTAAACATTGTCAAGGGTTAAAACACGTTTCCAGTGGGTTTCTGGGGTTGCTGATTA